GAACTTTATGTTGTCCCCCCAAGTTCCTTAAAATGATCTCCATGAGGATCAGCACGGCCATGTCAGATATGGCAACACACTTTCTGAGCCCTTTTTAATTAAGAATGGTGTGAAACAAGGCTGCGTTCTCGCTCCAACCCTATTCACAGTCTTCTTTAGCATGATGCTCCAAAGGGCCACAGCAGACCTCGATGATCAGGACGGTATCTACATTCGATACCGTACTGATGGAAGCCTTTTCAATCTAAGGCGACTGAAGGCCCACACTAAGACCTTAAACCATCTTGTCCAGGAGCTGCTTTATGCTGATGACGCCGCCCTTGTTCCTCACACAGAAGCAGCTCTGCAGTGTTTAACATCCTGCTTTGCAGATGCTGCTGAGCTCTTTGAACTGGAAGTCAGCTTAAAGAAGACAGAGATCCTCCATCAACCCACACCTCAGGAAGTCCCCCATCATCTCCACATGACCATGGGCCAATCAGAACTCAAATGAGTCCAGCAGTTTAATTACGTAGGTAGCCTCATCTCCTTGGATGGTAAGATTGACGGAGAGATAGACAACAGGTTAGCAAAGGCATATAGTGCTTTTGGAAAACTCCACAAAGAGTATGGCTTAATAAACACTTGAAGAAAAGTACTAAGATCAGTGTTTACAGAGCCGTAGTGCTGTCTACTCTCTTATACGGTTCCGAATCATGGGTCATCTACCACCACCACCTGCGTCTCCTAGAACGCTTCCATCAATGGTGCCTCCATACAATCTTAAACATCCACTGGTCAGATTATGTGACCAATACATCTGTTCTAGAACAAGCACCAGTCACAAGTATAGAGGTCGTGTTGATGAGAACACAGCTGCGCTGGGCAGGGCACGTCTCAAGGATGAAGGACCACCGCCTCCCTAAGATCTCGCTTTATGGTGAACTTGCCACTGGCTGCCACATGAGAGGAGCCCCGAAGAAAAGATACAAGGACCTCCTGAAACAACATCTCAGCCTTGGCCATATTGATCACCATAACTGGTCTACTCTCTCCAGTCGGGAGGCCTGAAGACACACCATCTATAACGCAGCTGTCTCCTTTGAGAACACACGCAGGATCACTCTTGAGGAGAAAAGGCAACGCAGAAAGAACCCTGTCTTGCAGAATATACCACCTAAGGAGTCTTTCTGCTGTGCCTTTTGCAATCGGATATGTCTGTCTCGTATTGGCCTCATAAGCCACCAGTGTGCCTGTAGCAAATGTGGATAGAGCCTTCCCAAATCTTCGTTCGCGAAGCCCAGCCATGATGATGACTCAAACATAATAAGAAGTTAGGACTTGATGGCAAAGTTACTGGGTGTGTTTCTGTATCTTGTGCTGTGAAGGATATCAGGTAGCTTGATTTTCTTGCAGCTTAAAAGTATATTGACCCAAATAAAGACAGGCAATTTCCACTCATAAACTAACGTTTTTAATGAAACGAGGTTCTCCCATTTACATTTTCAATTAAAGTTTTTGGAAGCCTTGGGAATCATTAAAAATTCTCCAAGGGAAGGGTTTATTTTGCTCTTTTTATCCCCCAAAATAAAACACTTCCTGTTCATAACTAAAAGAAGGATTAAAAAAACCCTGTTAACTGGTATAAAACCCTTTTCATTCCTTCTGTAACAATGCATTATTGAGATACACAACCACGTTAGTGCTACTATAATTACTTTAATCATTAGCAACCTAGATTTAAATACTCTTTTTCTAGGTAAAGTCTTCTTAAAGGTGTAAAAAAAAAAAATCTCACCTGCTAGCTTTTCTTCCATGCTGTTTAGAGAATCTGGCACACTGCTTTTGTAAAAGATCTCCAGTGTATTGATCGAGACAGTCCTGCAAAAACAGTATGAGAAAGGAGTAGGAAGGAACACAGGTGATCACAGTGGTTCTAGTTAAAACAGGATGAACCTAATGGGAATGTTGGCTCTAAGGAGTATCATAGTATATATGTCTATATAGACACAGATAAGTAGGCTGACATTTTTAACTTCTGAGCACATAAATTTATATGCTAGGTTCTGGCTTGAAGTTAACAGATGCTGATAATCTATGCCACAACTACAGGTTGCGTAGAATCTCATCACTTTTATCACGGTTGCCACAATACAGTGGTCAAAAGTTGTCCTTAACTGTAGGGTGTTTGCCAAGTGTTTATGCTTTGTACAGAGAGGCCAAATGGCCAGCTTGATCCTGGTAACTGAAGTTTCACGTACAGGCTCTTACAGGTGAACAGAGTTTAAAAAAATAAAAATCTACTTCTGAATGTTCTAAGAAAATGTATTTTTTTTTAAATGCAAATATTAATTTTTATGCAATTAATTTTGTGAATGAGAAAGCAGACTTTTTGAATTTGTCTGGCTGAGCTAGAATATGCTTTAGCACTTTTCATGGTTTTAGCTCTCCAAAAATCCAATTTCCAAGCTTCCTCACAATTTGCTACAAATGTGAAAGAGAAGTTCTCAGACAGGCACAACTCAGCATGGGGAAATTATATCAAAATTTATTACCAATACAGTAAATACTATAGAAACCAAAAAACAAATAAATACACAGTATTAACACAATTTTTACCACTTCTGGGGTCCTTCCAAGAAAAACCATCAGGGTGATAGCTGAAGTCTCTCCCTCATTGGGGTATCGAGAAAGGGGTCTTCTGCATCCTTACCAGCTCCTTGGCCTCTGCCGAGGTCTCCTTCTGGACTGCAAAGGAACATATGCTTTACCAGATCTTCATCACGAATTACAGGGAGTCAGCTTTTAAGTCCTTTCCCCCTGGTTCATGAAGGTTCCTCCCAGAGAGTAAGATGTCCACTCCTGCTCTCCAGGGTACAGGGTTTCTGGGTTTTGCTCAGTCTTTATACCCAAAATAGTTTTCACCAAAAGTCCTTACCCAGAAAAAGCCTGCTTGGTTTGGCTTCTCTCTGTTTCAGCTGCTGCAGCTTCAGCTCAACTTTCACATGTCACGGGGGGGGCGGGCATTCCTCCCTCCCGCATTCCTCCTTCGGTTTTCGGCTGCCCCTGTCCAAACCCACGAGGGCACTTCTGAGCCCCTTGGCCTGTCTCCGTGTTTCTGCCGTCTCAGCTCGGGTCGGTCCCTCCTCCGCCATTGTGTGTGGGGAAAGTGGCAGCGAGACTGCTTGAAGTCTTTCTCTCATCCTCTGCCTGGAATTCTTCCAGCTCTGCATGATCTCTGCTGCTTCTGCAGCTCCCAGGCCACCCTGTGGCCCATCTCTGGCTTGGCTCCAATACCATGCCTGCCCGCTGGGGCGGGGGGGCTAGCTCCAACCCCCTGACTGGCCTCTCAAGTCCATGTCACTGCCTCTCCTGGGCAGTGGGGGCAAAAACTCCCTAGCCTTTGGCCACAGGCACCCAGTCCAGTTATGATACTGTTCTGGGCTCCCCTGCAGGCCAGCCAAGGGGGGGGAAGAGGCGGGGAAAGAGGGGGGGAAGAGGGCCCCCCAACCAGGGGCCCTCAGGCCTCTCTCCTGTCATCTCATGACTTCCATTGTCTCTCTCTCTCTCTGCCAACAACTTCCTTCCAGCTGTTGTAGTATCCTAATTTCACAGGGGCAAAACACAGCTCTGATTAGCCCCTCATCGGAAACTCACCTGGACCAACCACTTCCAGCCTCTCCAGGGGATGGCTCAAACCACAACACACTTCAGTTACTGGAGCCAAAATTAACCAAAAGATCTTTCACATAAGAGCCAATTTCTATGGCAACTAGAGAGGTATGGTATGAACAATATTAGTAAGTGTATAAGGAAAAAGATAACCAGCAATCTTGGTCTTCATAACACTAAAGTTAAATGTAGTCTTTCAGTTGAATTAGTAGGAATTAGCTCAGGGTTTTAATTTTGTACTGCACAAATTTTAGGCATAATCTGAAAAACTGCTTTAAATTCATAAGGAAATTTTAACGTTAAGCAGTTAGCAGTAAATTAGAAGGCATTTACTTTGGTAAGGAAGTCAATGTTTTCTTATGTCTCTTTTTAAAACTGTTTGTGAGCTCTTAAAAAGGAGTAGTGTATCCAAATACAAAAATCCAAACTGAAAAAAAGACACAGAACCATAGGAAGATAACTTATTCATTGTATGAGGAAATATTAAATAACCAGTTCAGTCAGTTATTTGAATTTATAATGAATTAAGAAAAAATTGCTAGAATTAAAAGGTTGACTGGCAGAGGGAAATTATACTTTGTTAGTTTTGCTATATACGGAATGATAGGTCTGACTTCAGAATGTAGTACCAAGGGATATTCTGGAAGGCTAAAATAAGACAGGGCACCACATATATCAAGGGAAATTTAGAGGTTAAAGAATTGAAACTGTCAATGGCTAAAAAATATAGTGAATCATTCTTCACTGAGCCAGAGGCTAGAAGACCTAATGAGCTAATAATAGCGCACATTTCACACCCACAGGACAAGGGAGACATCAGAATGACACAGCAAGATAAAGAAGATTGAAAAAGTAACATGACTGGGATCATATGTGATTAAAACATCTTGTCATTAATTGTGGAAAATGATAGAAATGTTTTCCATGGTGGAAACAATATGAAAACGTGATTGTGTTTCAAAACACTGTATGTCCAGATACAGATTGTAAAAAGATTTTATCACTTTGTTTTGCTGCCCTTTTCATTTTTCGCCTCAGAAAGAGAAAATTGCAGGAAGAAATGCTTCCTGAATAGAAATAAGTAACATAGTACCAAATTCCAATATAGAACACTCCTGTGTGATGCAATTGTAAATTGAAAGACTAACAAAATAAGTAGTAGCAAATCATCAGGGAAGAAAACTGAGGAAATTTTGGGGGTCAACCAAAGACATCTGTTTTTCTATATAATAATAAAAAAAATGTTACGTTTAGTGTTAGTTCTATTCATGTTAGACTCAGCAGATGTTAACTGGCTTTTGACTATATTGAGGCTTCTACCAAGTAAACATAGCAAGGTCTGGTCTGTGTTTCAGTGGTATCTATTTCAAATACTCTTTGGAACATTAATCTTTCTGGGAAACCTTGGATGAGGTGGGAACAGCAGCAACGGCACTAGGTATTTTCAGCCTGACAGCCCACCCATCAACTGAAAGAAATGGTCAATTCTTGCCTTATATAAGATCACTCAGAGGAAACCGTGACCTCAGCTGGGCTGTGGACAGAGGAGCATTCAGAATACACAAAATTTACCTGCTTCTGGGGAGTGGAGGGAGAAAAGAGTAGAAAAATTTGGTTTGGGTTTGTTTTTCATTTAATAAAGTGAGAAAAGTAGGGCTCTAAAGGCATGTGAAAAATATATTGGGTATGAAAACAGTAATTTCAGGCAGTCATTTTTCAAAGCAGAATCAGTTAATAATCAGTTCAAAGCAGAAAGAATTAATAATCTTTGACTACTTCAGTTCCCAAGGTGATGTGAAATGTCAGCAAAACTGTCTTGATCTGATTGCAATGCACTTTTTTTTTTTGGTGTTTTCCCTCCACACCTTCTGCTCTCTGAGCCCTGTTAAACTTCCTAAATAGAGTATTAGCAATAGAGTCTGGTGTTCTTGCCAGAAGTTTTTTCACTTCAGAATGATTGAACTGGTTTCTGCACATAACAAGTAAGAAGTTTACAAACATGAAGGTGTTAAGTATTTTAATCATAAGACACTATGAGACATGTTCTTTATATGTTGAAAAATATTTACCACACAATAATTTAAAACCATTTCACATAGGAAACATCTTCATTGCCTATGTCAATTCCTCACTTTAAAGTTTACAAAGCACCAGCTTTCATAAAATGGGTCAATAGTTTACTAGTTCAGGCAGGCAAAATTTCAGAATGTTTCATCCCAATCCCCCACCACTTTATGAACTGGCATCAGACAGTTTTAAATTATGAAAAAAATCTCATCTATTTGCTGATTTGCCTGGTGACATTTTGTTACCAATTCTTTCTGACTTGTAGCTTTACTCATCTCACAGATGTTCTTATACCAGAGATTTCAGTGGGAATTTTTTTTCTTTTTAATTTTCAGCAAACCTATCTATCTGTCAGTGAGAAATAAGGAATACAATTGTTTCTTTAGTGGCAGTGAAATGCAGGAAGGCTAGGTATTCCCAGAAAGGGCAATTGTGATACTGAAAAACATTCAGAAACCCTTAGTGACAGGCTAGAACATTGCTTTTGGAAGATGTGTTCTATCGGGTAACTTTTCAGCCACATCTTTAGAGAAATATTTGTATTGAGGTGATGAAACTGAGACTCCCATGGGCAGTTGTAGTCAATTGTCTATTTTCTGATCTAGTTTTTAAGTGCATGTTGTTGTTCTGTTTGTATCTTGTCATTTACACTATTCCCAGTTTGTATTTTCACATTATATGTCCTTGTTCCTTGTCTGAAAAAAAAGAAGTTCCTATGTCCAATTTTTAAAAGTTCTGTTTTTTTTCTCCCTAGCTGAGTTTTATCCTATACTTCCTTTTTTACCAATTTTTGCAGAGAAAACATATACAACCTAATCTCCTTTCTCTCCTTCCCTTTTTTCACTTTCTTCCTTCTTGTTTCCTTACTTCTCCTCAATTTCTTGTAATCTAAAACTGCTTAGTCTTCATCCAACATAATAAATTCTATCTATTCTGATGAGTATTATGGGTTCATACAATTTTAGTCAAGGGTAGACAAAATAAGTGGTGATGCTCTCCTATATGACGTAGTTCAGCACTAAACCACAGATGTCAGAAATCTGTGCTTAATTATTTTCCTTGTTTGAGGGATTTTTGTACTTGTATTTACACCTCAGGGACATTACCTTAACCACCAGTCAACAGTCTTTTGGAGGACAGGAAATACCCTGCTGACACTGTATAAACAACAGACTTTGTATAAACAAGTCAACAGCGTGCAGATCCATGCACTCTTGAGTGCTCCATTTTGCAAGATAAAGAATCATAGACCAGACTAGGAATTAATCTTTCCCTTACCTTTGCTTTTTATGCACACTAAAACTTTGGCAAAAACACCCCAGCAAATGAAAACCTCTTATCTCATTTGAGTATTCTCTTCTCCTGTGGTTTTTGAGTATTCTCTTCTCCTGTGGTTGAACAATTCCTTAGAGATGACTACTAAGATGGGTTAAGCTTTGGTTGATATAACCAAGTTGATAGCCACTAGTAGATAAGGATATATCCATCTGAATAACTCACTCTCCATGTTCATCTATAGTTTATGTAAAGAAACAGAATACTCTGCTTTTCTTGTGTGGATCTACCTCTGATGTATTAATTTTGTTGACAAAACTTTTCACCTCTTAGAATATTTTACTATTTGTTTCAGTGTGGCTTTCATGTGTGCTTGTTTTTGAGATACTTTTCTTAGTTCCCTGAAAAGTTTTGACAAACTCTATCGATGCTTTTACATAGAAGGAAAGGTCCTTTTTGGGTGTGCTTAGAAAGAACTTGAAGTTATACGATAACTTGTCAAAGAAGGAAGACTACTGAGGTAAAGACTGAAGGATTCCCAGTTTGTTTGAGGTTTGAATCTTCATTAATAATGGGTTACACTAAACTCAAACTTTATTACTTGTATTTAACATGGATAAATGGAGCAAGTGGGCTTCTGAATTAAAAATCAGGTCATCAGAGTAATCCATCAGCACAAAAAAGTCCAGTGTATCAAAACAGGCAGGCAGCTAATGGGTTGCCTTGAAGAAGTGCTGAATACAGAGAAATAGAATTTGGTGAGAATCCACTGGCTGGAACATGGTACCTTCTTATATTACTGTGTAATGAGTAATGTATATTCCTCTTTGTTTGAGAAAATGAGATGAGAGTCTGTCAGGATCATTTAGGTATAATGCCTCAGAGCAAAGGGGTGGAAAAAGTGACCTCTTAAAGTTCTTTCTGTTTATATGGTATGTTGACCTTTTACAAAACAGTGATTTCAGCCCTAGCTACAACCTTTGGCCCTGATTTCCTTTTTGAATTGTGTGCAGATATTTTCTTGACTATGTAGGCAACTGAGATGATATTCAGTCTGTTTTAAAGTATTTGTAGAGATCCTACATTTGTACCTCTTTAAGAAGTTTTCTTTATGGTATTTTTCTTTGGTGAAAAGAAAAAATGTTCAACCCTTTACTTTTAACTTCAATGACAGTATACTTCTACATTTTTATAAGAAGTAATAAACAAACAAAGAGAATGGAACTTAGCTGTTTTCCCTCTCTGTAAACAAACCAGCGTCTTTTGCTGTGAAGAATTCCTCTGACGCTTTGCTGGACCAAGGTGTGAAGCATTGAGTCCAATGCCAAAATTGTGAATTTGTTTCTGGGGACAGAAAAAGACTAGACTCCTTCTGCTGAAATAATTACTTGAGGAAAGAAACACTGAATCATTTCTAAGAAATTATAATATAAATTAAAAGTTTCATAGTGCAATTTCTACTAGTGCTCAAAAGTTCTGGGAATCGTTCTGAGGCTTGATCTTATCTGGTGTATCTTCACTGAAACTGATGGAATAATGCTGGTCTCCTGCTTGATGAGAATATGGAGAATTTGCCCTATAATTTTTTCTTTCTAAATCTCTATAGGACTTGATTGACTAAATTAATATAAAAAAAATTGCTTGCAAATTAATTGTGTAGTGTTTGATTGGTCAGGGAATTTAGAGACTTCACAGGAGAACAATTTATATTTCCAGTCCTGTTTATAGCCAGTTCATTCTTTGTAAAGTTGCTACAAATGCTAGAAGAACATTTTTTGCAGATCACATTTTATTTTTAATAGGCAAGTAATATGTTTCAGTAGATCATTTAAGTAAGTTTGAGGCCAGGTTTTGTTATGTGCTTGAGAAATACTTAAAACAAATGTATGTTGGATTTACAGTGGAGGCTGTTTGGCTGTTTAATAACAGCAGTAGTGAAGATCGTGAAGGTTTAACAAGACCGAGTGCAAGGGGCTACACCTGGGTCAGGACAACTCCAACACAAGTCTGGGGGATGAACAGACCAAGAGCAGCCCTGCTGAGAAGGACTTGGGGGTGCTGGTGGGTGAGAGGCTGGACATGAGCAATCAATGTGCACTCACAGACCAGAAAGCACAACAAAGATTGAAAGAGACCTTTTATAAGGGCAAGTAGGGACAGGACAAGGGGAAATGGCTTCAAACTGAAAGAGGGTAGGTTTAGATTCAGAAGATATTCTGAAAAAATTCTTTACTATGCATGGGAACAGGGTGCCCTGAGAAGATGTGGCTGCCCCATCCCTGGAAGTGTTCAAGGCCAGGCTGGAAGGGCTTTGAGCAACCTGATCTAATGGAAGGTGTCCACACTCAAGGAGGGGAATTGGAGCTTGGTGATGTTTAAGGTCCCTTCAAAGCCAGGCCATTCTATAATTCTGTGATTCTATGTTTAGATCCTTTCACAGTCACCAGTAACAGTTCTTAGGTGTAAGAAGATTCAAACTGGAGTCAAAACAACATTCATCTGATTTAGCACTATTCATTTTGATTAACTTTGGAAAATGAGTTACCAGACCTAGGCAAAACCTCAAACTGTACTAGCACTATAGTGAAAAGATGCAATTGTTAAATATAATCTGCTGCAGTAATTTTCCATAAATAAAGTTGGAAACTTGGGTGAATATTTTATAAGAGGAAAACATACAAAGGAGTAGCTTTACACATAAAAATTTACATATTCATTATGTGCATGAAGATATTTGTTTTTGGCAAAGAAAAATATATGTCTATTTTATATTTACAACTATCATCACTTGCCAAATACCTTTCTTACTGCATTTGAGATACTA